ATGTTAATTCCTCCCCATACCCCACCCCCACCATCATTTACCATTTACGTAGCACTTAAATTGACAGTACATGTCATGTCTCCTCAATTAGATCACACCAACTGGTAAGATCCTTCAGGACAGGAACTGAATCTCATTCATCTTTCTATCTTTTAAACACCTACCAATATGACTTACATAGAGATGCAATAAAAATTCTGAACAATGAAATTACAGTTACAGAGGATTGATTATAGCAATCAAATATAAATGGTGTCAAGACTAGAATCATAAATTTTCATTCAATTTAGCTATAGAATTATTTTGGCACCTCAGTAATTTCACTGATGCCAAAGGCTGATTTCAACAAATGACAGTGCAAATAAAGACAAATCAATTTCTAGATCATACAATTTAATAAGTAATCTTTAGTAATAACATTAAAGGGAGCTTAAATTAAATGCTACAATATTAGAAGGCCCTCCACACTTGTATGTGTTCCCATGTACTTTTATGCAAAGGTTTCCTTTCATATATTCTTTGGCTTAACATGATTGTAACAGAGATCTCCTTACACCACTTGTTAACTAACTGAAAACTGATAGAGATTTTTATATTTTCCAGTGGAGATGGGGGATGAGGGGAAAGGAGGAATTAAAGGCTAATACTGAAGCAAAACTGGTAGGTTCAAGATCCAAAATTTGTGATATTTATGGGTAAAATCAATCTAAATCTCTAATGAAATTTTTTCTTTCCAAATAGATTTCATTAATATCAAGGCTTCTCTGAACCTACTGCAATCTTTTTTTCTATTCTGATTTATCATAGCCTTCCTTTACTGTATGTTATCTTTATCAAGAATCAAGTCCCATGGTTTGTTTCTTTTTTTCTTTTAACTACTGCCCTATCTGCATGTGCTAACAAGCTGGAAGAGCTGCAATTTGTTGGGTAGTAACCTCCATTCTAACAAACAACACTTCATTAATGATCCAAACCACACTCCCTTTCCCTGCAGAAACTATTTCTATAGTTTTCATAAACCAGAATGCACAGGTATAAACTTAATTTGAAAAGGCAATTACTAATGGAAGAGTGTGTGTCAATTCTCTACCTTTTCGATAGTTTCATGCTCCCAGCTCTTTTTGATTTATTTTTTCCCATGTGGAGAAGTTCATGGTGAGAATTAGAGGGACTCAGTTCTATCAAACCAAATCCACCAGAGCAGACACCACATATACATGTAAGTAAGAAAGAGTCAAAAGCCAGGAGTCAAAAGACCGAGTTTCTAATCACAGCTCAACCATGTATATATCTTTAGGAAAAATCATAACCTTTCTCAGCTTCAACTTTGTCTTCTATAAATTAGATATAAGAACTACTATCCCTATCCCAGCAGCTTACTCAAGAGATTTTAAAATCACAGTATTACAAATAGCACTACATAATTATAAAATGTATGTGAATATATTCATATTTATTTTTTAAGCAATAACAGTGTCACTAGACAAACTGTTATACCAAATTCTGTGCACAGTATATCCAAAGCATTGTGTGCTTTTTTTTTTTAAATGAGAACCAGAACCTAGGATGGGAACATATATACACAGTCTAGTTCATAATGCTGGGGGCAAATATCACTCTCTAATCTGGATTTATATTCTCGCAAGCAAATTTTTACTTACAATCATAACATATCGAAATTCTCCCTTTTTAGTTAATCAGAACTTAGTGTAAAGTACTAGAGGTTAGTTCTTCACATCTTGTGCTAAGAATTTCTGCATCACAGTCTTCACATAAACCTCAATTACAATAAGTTTAAAAGTGCAAAATAATACAGGATGACTTTATGATTTTTTAATGTTAAAAATAATGCCATCATTAAGTTAAAAGATTCCTCAATCATTACTCACTTCCAATTTCCTAGGCAAAATATCAATATGCTCGCATTCTCCAAATAAATTAAAAGATTCCCTACAAACACACAAACACAAATACACACAATTTCTGAAATTGTGCATTTAAGGCTTTAACTTTTTTCATATGGCAACTTTTGAACACTAAATGGTTTACTATATGTTATTTATTTTCTTTTTAGTTACTTACAGTTTTCTACAAAATCCTTATTATGCATGATTCTGGCAGGCTTTATGCTATTTGTTGCTCCAATGAAAAGTGTTTAAAACATGAATGTGAAAAGTATTATTTTAACTATAATTTTGTAGCTAAAATTCTTTTTTTACAAACTTTGCAAACATTCTGTGCAACCTGAATTAGTGCTGAGAAAAATAAATTTTAACAGTTGCTCAATGTTCTTCAAAAAGTGAAAAGCATAAAGAAACATATGCTCATCTGAACTCCACCTATTTTCAGTTTCAACATAGCAAACCTCCTGTTTGTTCTTAGGGCAAATTCAAAACCATACATATTGAGATTGGTTATTAGAGAAGATAATTTATGCAATCATAAACCAAAGATGCTAAGTTGGCAAAAAGAAAACCATGCAAGTAAGCAAACCCTAACACAAATGGGACACACCCTCTCAGTATATAAAGGCCTGTCACTGTCCTTGGTAGCAGCCACTCCCCGGGCTAAACAGCATCACCATGTCTGTTCGATACAGCTCAAGCAAGCAATACTCTTCCTCCCGCAGTGGAGGGGGAGGAGGAGGAGGATCATCCCACAGAATTTCGAGCAGCAAAGGCTCCCTTGGTGGAGGATTTAGCTCAGGGGGCTACAGTGGTGGCTCTTTTAGCCGTGGGAGTTCTGGTGGGGGTTGCTTTGGGGGCTCGTCAGGTGGCTATGGAGGATTAGGAGGAGGTTTTGGTGGAGGTAGCTTTGGTGGAGGCTATGGAAGCAGCAGCTTTGGTATGGGCTATGGAGGAGGCGGCTATGGAGGAGGCGGCTATGGAGGAGGCAGCTTCGGAGGAGGCAGCTTTGGTGGGGGCAGCTTTGGTGGAGGCAGCTTTGGAGGTTTTGGTGGTGGATTTGGAGGAGATGGCGGCCTTCTATCCGGAAATGAAAAAGTAACCATGCAAAATCTGAATGACCGCCTGGCTTCCTACTTGGACAAAGTTCGGGCTCTGGAAGAATCAAACTATGAGCTAGAAGGCAAAATTAAGGAGTGGTATGAAAAGCATGGCAACACAGGCCGGCGAGAGCCTCGTGACTACAGCAAATACTACCAAACTATTGAGGACCTTAAAAACCAGGTAAGGGGCATTTTTAAAACCAACGTTAAGCCTGTTTCTTATCAATATAATCCAGACAGATGAATCTTAAATTAAGCACAGTGTGGCAATTCACTGCTTACCTATGTTACATTCTTGCTTCCAAAAGTAACTCAGTCTCATCAAAGGCAAATATTTGTGAAGGTATGATCAAGAAAATCTTCATCCAGCATGGGTGTTGTCTGTCTTATAGCATGACAGATTACTGAGATTTTTTTTTAGGTTTTAATGAGCATATAATATGTCCATAGTTAAAATACGCTCGATCATTTACAAATGTAGGAACTGAAAACAGTATTAAGCAAATAAGAACAAAATATTATTCAGACTGATAACAAATAAGCCATATTCAGTACCAATACTGCAAGAAACATGAATTCTCCAGTATGGAAATGGGATACTGCTTGCCTCTAGAGAATCTGTGAACTGTACCTACTGTGTACCAGTTCAAAGTATACTTACTTATAAGTAGTTATAACAAGTTAAATACTGGTGTGAGTCAATCAAAGTTTGGCTGAAATACATGGAAAACACACAGTACAAAGGAGGAGACACATATGCAGGAATACATCTATATAATTCTAGTTAGTTTTTACAAAGGGATGAAAGAAATATAAGAGTATGGAAACTTCAAGAGAACAAAATGATTCAAATTTAAATATATAGGTAACCCTGCAATATTTCATATTTAAAATAACCCCCCAAGATTTTGTAAGAGGACATAAAAATGCAGTTCATCTATGCCCCTATAAAAACAACATAAAAAGGCAGTTCATCTATGCATCTGACCTCTATTTAAATAACTGTGCCTCTCCTTCCAGATGTTCAACCTAACAACTGATAATGCCAATGTCCTGCTTCAGATCGACAATGCCAGGCTGGCAGCTGATGACTTCAGGCTGAAGTAAGCTGAGTGAATGTGGTACAATACTATCATAACGAATACATCAATTGTTTTTAATAATGACTTTGGATGCCCACAATAGCATTTACAGTTTCCTAAGTTCGTCAAAAGTCAGTATAGTATTGGAGTTGTCTGAGAAATTTTCAATTTCAATATTTTCTTTCAGTCAATATTAAAGGAAGAGAATGCATTTTAAAGTATCTGCTAAACTTCTCTGCATTAAAGAACCACTAATATCCCTATGTGAATTATCATATGGTAAATGTTGCCATGATATAAAATCAACTCTATGTTTGCTTTTTAAACAGTC